GCATGTCCCCGGGAGCTCTGCACCCACGGGAGATCTCGGGGCACCCACAGCCCTGTGACGGCCACCCACGGGCCCGTAATATTTACCCAATTACATGATAATGTTATTCAAGGCTGAATAAATTCCATTGCCAGGTAGTGCTGACAGCAAAGCTCAGAGCAGCCTGGACCTCCACTCGCCCGTCCCTTTGTCCCCTCCTTTCCCGCCCGCCTTCCTCGGGGTGGGTGACAGCCAGGGACAGCACCACCCGATGCCATCTCAACCTGATGGCATCACCCACAGTGCCCAGAGCTGCTGCTTGGCAGGGGGATGCAGGACCCACACCCCAAAGAGGGGCACACGCTCACCCCCTGCCCACGCTCTCCCCTCTCCATCAGCAGCATCACCCCCGTGGTCACCAACCCGGGGGGAGGTGGGAGTTCAACCCCGGGGGCTGTGTTGGCACCTGATGTTCACTCCCGGGCACCGCCGCAGCTCAGGAGATGATGGATCCGGGCTCTAATGCTCTTTTTTCTGTGCGTCCTTTAAGGATTTGGGGCTGATCACCCAGCGCTTCCTCCACAGCTGGCTCTGCACAACGGCGGCAGCTGCCTCTGCTGCCTGGCAGGGCCTGATGGGGCTGAGCGCAGCCGTTATAATTAGAAATGCTAATCAGCTCTTGTGTTTCCAGCCCTGCCACCCCCAGCACAACCTTCCCTCCAATCTGTCCTGTGCTCGCCCCCTCCGCTTCCTCTCCAAATCCCCGCTACTTGTAATTAAGCACTACAGAATTAAGGGGGGGGGGAAGGAGGGGTGTCAAAAGCTGGGGGTCTTTGCGTGTTTTGGGGCAGGTGGGCAGCCCCCGCAGGGCTCCTGGCTTGCTGGGGGTAGTTTGGGGGTCTCATGCTCCATTCACTACCAGATGGGACCCCCCAGGAACCCCCCTGACCCTCACCAAGAGCCCCGGCATGGAGCCATGGGGTGGAAGAGGGGCAGCTCAAAGGGGCATCGGGGTTGAATCATAGAATCATAGAATGGTTTGGGTTGGAAGGGACCTCAAAGATCATCGAGTTCCAACCCCCCTGCCATGGGCAGGGACACCTCCCACCAGACCAGGTTGCTCAAGGCCCCATCCAGCCTGGTCTTGAACCCCTCCAGGGATGGGGCAGCCACAACTTCCCTGGGCAACCTGTTCCAGTGTCTCACCACCCTCATAGTAAAAAATTTCTTTCTGATATCTAATCTGAATCTTTTTTCTTCCAATTTAAAACCGTTTCCCCTTGTCCTATCATTACCCTTCCTGGCAAAGAGTCCCTCCCCAGCTCTTCTATAGGCACCCTTCAGGTATTGAAAGGCCGCTATAAGGTCTCCCCAGAGCCTTCTCTTCTCCAGGCTGAACAATCCCAGCTCCCTCAGCCTGTCTCCATAGGAGAGGTGCTCCATCCCTCTGATCATCTTCGTGGCCCTCCGCTGGACCTGTTCCAGCTGGTCCATGTCCTTTCTGTGTTGAAGGCAAAGGGTGGTGGCTGTGGGCGAGAGACCACCAGCTCCACCAGCCCAGCGACTCTGGAAGGGGGAGCCGCTCTCGTTAGGATTTCTGTTCTCATTAGGATTTCTGTCCTCATTAGGATTTCTGTCATGTGCCACCCGCAGGCTCTTCCCAGCCGAGGAGGAGAAGGAGCTCACACAGGAGCATGGACAAGGCAGCTGAGCAAGGAGCTCCCCGTGCAGGCTTAGCTGGATATGGATTTATTCATGGTCACAACTCACAAGAGGAGACACAGCCCTGGGGATCCCTCACCGGTGCCCACAGACAGCCCCTGCCAGCCCCCAGCCCCTCCACACAGACCCCCCCACCGCGGCCGGAGCACTCCTGGTGCCATGGGAGCCAGGATGCAGCTTGTTTGCATTTTGGGAGTGTTTGGCTCCCAAAATCAGCCTCGGCTGGAGGGGCTGTCCCTCAGAAGCAGGCACGGGGCTCAACTGGCCGCGGAGCAGAGGGAGGTGTGAGGAGGGATGAGCAGGTCATCGTGTGTGAGGACACACACAGGGCACTGTGCTCAGAGAGGGACGGTGTCCAAACCTGTGCTGGCTCCAAGCTGGACATTTGGTGGCTCCTCTCCCTGGTGAACAGGATCCAGGGTGGTGGTCCCTGGCCCCACAGCTGCCATCGAGATGCTCACTGACCCCCCTGCAGCCTCCTGGGGCTGTGCCCAGGGGAACGATGTGTTAATAAGGGGTTGGGGTCTCCCAGTTGATTTCAGAACCCCCTTGAGCAACCCATGGTGTTGGTATGACACAGCAGCACCAGCGTGGAGCAGGAAACAAAATTTATCCAGAGCTGCAGCCTGGACTTGTCTGTCTGAGCCGTGAAATATCAGAGCATCTCGAAGTGGTGTTGTGCTGGGAGAAAACACACACAGCTCTCGGGTTTTTAATCAGCCTTCATCTCCCAGGTGCTCCCTCTCTATTAACCTCAGGTGGCTCCAGGGGAGAGGATCTGGTTTGGAGGCTTGATGTGCAAAAGAAGGCAAGAGTTTTTCAGGAAGACAGGGGCTGCCTGAGCAAAGGAGACCCCCCCTCCCCTCCCCTTCTCTGCCTAGGGCCCCTGGACCACTCGCCTGCTCCCCCCAGCATCTTAGGGCCTGTCTGCTGGTGGGCACGGGGGAAACACCAAAGGGCTTCCCCCCACCCCCTCCCCAACACACCACGATTTCTGGAGAAAGGGAAATAGGGGAAGCGAGGAGGTATGGAACAAAAAGGGAGCCGGGAGGGACAGGGCACGGTGGCTGTGATGGTGAGGGAGCCGTGAAACAGCCCCAGCAGCACGGGCAGCTCCTGGGAAAGCTCCGGGGACCAGTGGGATTGGATTTGTCATGACTAATTGACTCCCCCGGGCGCTGCGGGACAGGTTTCACGCGTCGCGTGAGCGGGATCCCCAGCATCCAGGAATTAATGAGGGCCTGACCCTGTCGGCGCAGCCACTTGAGTTTTTCCAGTGCAGACAGCTGGCTTAAGAGGCCCCTTTTTATTCTTTACATATCAGATCAATCGGGAGAGTTATAATCTAGTCCTTGTGAAAGCTGGGAGCAGCCTTTGCTGCCCAGCGAGCTCGAGGGGAAAAAAAAAGCAAGCAAGAGGGAGAGGTCATGATGAACTATTGATTGAGCAGGCGGCGGGGCTGCTCCCAGAGATGGCTTTTGCAGGGAACTCGCCCGGGACAGTTTGCCTCTATCTCTCCTGCTAATGCTGCTCCATTGATCTTCCCTGACAGGCAGCAACTACAAGATTATTTCTTTTTTTTAGCTGGAGTCATTAAGAGGCTTTAATCAATAACAGGGGAAACGGAGAGAGAAAAACTGTTTGTTTGGTGGAGACAGGTTCCCCGTGTGGATTTTAGCCCTCTGAGGTGCACAGGTTTCATTTCCAGCAGCCAGGGAGACCTGCCAGGACAGGAATGTCTGGACTCTGGCACTTGGAGGAGATCCTGGGCCGGTTGCAACACCCTGGTAGCCCTGGCCAGGCTGTGAACCGAGAGGGGACCAGCTGGGGAGCTGGTGGTGTCCAATTCCAGGTACCCCAGCACCCTACCCAGCACCCCAAATCACCCAGACCCTCTGTTCCCACGCAGGAACCCCAGCAAGAGCCGGGTGCTGATTTCATGAGCCCAAAACGCTGGGTACTGGTTTCACAAAGCACTTCTGCTAAATCCTGTTCCCTCCTGGCCGGGGTTTGGTGGATGCCAGCCCCTTGCCCAGCGGCTCAGCCCCCTGTTTGAGCTCAGCGGGCTGTGGGTGCTGCTGCTGCTGCAGGCAAGGGGGGGTGGGATTCATTCCTGTGGCAAGACTGGAGTTGTTTGCAAGAGAAAAACGATCTTTGTGCTGAAGGCGCCCCGGGCTGCGCTGCTCCCTCTGCCCTGCCCCAGCCCTGTCAGTACATTTCCACCGCTCTACGGTGGCAACACCCAGTTTTCTTCTCACACAGCTCCTGAGCTCGGCCCCACCAAGTGTCAGTGCTGGTGCTGGAGCCCATTCTCCCTTGGAGAGCCAGAGAAGGGAGCTGGAGATGAGCTCAGGAGGAGGAGAATGGGATGGACCTTCAAAGGTGACTGGGAGCGATGTGTGCTGGCCCCGGGGTGAGCTCAGGCCATGGAGGTGCCGCAGGCTCCCACGTGGGCTGAGCTCACCTTGGGGGAGCAGCCTGTGACACACAAGCTGAGCTGGTATTTTATTGCACTTTGCAGACTTTAGCCCAAAGGCCCTTTGGAACTGCTGCGTCCCGGGGCCGCTGGCACCTCATCGGCAGGTCTGGCTACCTGGGAACACCACCCTGAGCACACTGCTCACCACAGGGAGCACGGGAGAGAGCAGGGCTCCTGCTAACAGGGCCTGCACCAGGTGATGCTTTGGAGTAAGGGAAATGCACTTTGGGAGGCAGGGATGGAGATCCTGACGGAGATCAGCTTCCCTTTCCCCTCCGGGGCTCATCTCACCTCGACACCCAAAGCCCCAACATCCCACCGCTCCAGCTCTCACTGGGCACTCACTGGTAATTACTGCAGCTCTCTGGGGACACAGGATCCTCATCCTCGCTGTAATTACAGCTACACGTCCACAGCCAAGGCATCAAAGGCAGCAGGAGAGGAAGGGTTGAGGAGCTCGCTGCCGTAGAAGCAGGTTGCACTGGTGGCCACCACGCTCAGGCACGCACTGGCCATAAGCAGCTGACAGTCAGGGCCCTGAGAACACACACACAGAGCTCGGCACCATCACCCCAATCTACCCCAGATGGGGCAAGGTCTACTGCTGGTGGCTCCCTGAGGTGAGAGTCGGTGACACGGGAGATACAGCAAAGCCTTCTTCAGCCCCAGGTTGCCCATCAGGAGAAGCCCTTGGCTAATGGCTTTACCTTCCCTCCTCGCTCCATGGGTCTCCAGATCAGCCACCCTGCCCCTTCCACCAGCACCAAATCCATTAGGAACGATTTGATTTCCTTTATTTACACATGACATCTGGGAAAAAGCCTACTCCCATTGCAACTGGGAAAAAAAAAAAAGAAAAAAAGAAAAAAAAGAAAGTAATTCCTATGTGAAAGCCTTGGGCCTGAGGAGCTGGAGAGCTGCAGCCAGAGGAGATGCTGTTTTCCAGGCTGGGTCCTGTGCTCGGGTCACTCTCGTTTTCACTCAGGGCCTGGCCCGGGGCAGGTGGTGTGATGTCCTGCAGAGAACATCAGGCGCAGGGGGATTTCCAGCCTGGCTGTACAAATGCAGATGCAACAGCAAGATCTTCCAGCCTCATTATTTTCGCTGCCTCCTGCTTTTGGCCAAGCCTGCCAGGAGAAAAAAACCAAAACATACAACTGAGTGCTGGAGGGGCACGGTAGGGTTTAAACCCCAGCAGTGATCCTTGACTGGTGGGGCACTGACTCTGCAAACACCCATTTCCAGACCCTGGCACCCGATGGCACCGCTCCTGTGGCGTTCCTCACGCGGATAAGCATGGTGCCAAACCAGCCTTGTCTCTTACGTGGATTTAAATAATTGGTTGGGGGTTTGTTTCGAGGCAGAGGTAAGGCAAGCTCAGAGAAAGCAGGTCTTTAAAAAGCACAGCTGAGGAATGGTTGTAGGTGTGTCAGGAGCCACAGGGCTGGGTGTCTCCCAACACCGGCAGGCACAGGGGTGTTCCCTGGGGGCTGGTGGGGGCCTGAGACTTGCAAAGTGCTCCAGCCCCCCACAAACGGGACCATAAAACCACTCCTGGCTGGAGCGAACACCTGAGCAGATAAGGCAGTTACTTTCTCAATAGCTATTTGTAGGTGAGCAAAGGTTACAGGAAGGAAAGCTCTGATTATCTGATACGCTTCTGCAACGTGTTTCTGCCTTAATTACGTGTTCCATGAGTCAAACTCCCAGATCTTTCTCTTTCCAGTGACCGGTGGAGGCTGCACACACAGAACCCCGGCACCGGGGCAATTTAGCAATCCCATGCTTCTGGTTTTTTGTGCAACCCTGTTGCTACGCAGTCCCGCGGGCACCGGCAGCGCCCGCCTTCAAACGGCACCGAGCCAACCGCCGGGTTCCTCCCCGAGTGTTTGCTCCCCTGTCACGAGTGCTGACGTGTTGTTACTGACGAGCACGGCCACCGAAGGGACCACGGGGCAGCAGGAGCCACCGCAGCATCTGGGGTCAGCCCGCAGCTCTGCCTGTGCCACCGTGGGCTCGGCCGTGGGGCAGCCGGCAAGGGCTTCCACGGCAGCCACATGAGGAGGGGCGGGAGGGCTTCACCCTGGTGCTCTTTTTGGGCTGAAAAAAGTGAGGTGGAAAGAGGATTTACTCACATTAGGACAAGGGGAAACGGTTTTAAATTGGAAGAAAAAAGATTCAGATTAGATATCAGAAAGAAATTTTTTACTATGAGGGTGGTGAGACACTGGAACAGGTTGCCCAGAGAAGCTGTGGCTGCCCCATCCCTGGAGGGGTTCAAGGCCAGGCTGGATGTGGCCTTGAGCAACCTGCTCTGGTGGGAGGTGTCCCTGCCCAGGGCAGGGGGGTTGGAACTAGATGATCTTTGAGGTCCCTTCCAACCCAAACCATTCTATGATTCTATGATCCTTCCTACAAACCCCTCTCAGCCACCACCCTCGCCCCGCCGAGCAGCAGATACAGCACAGCCCAGGCCAGACCTCCCCGCTGTCCCTGCCAGAGCAACACCTTCAAGAGGACATTCCAGTGATGCCACCCTCCTGGGCCTCGCTTACCCATGCAAAGATGGTCCAGGTTCCTGGTCTGTAGCCCCGTGTGGGACCAAGCTCCAGCAGCGTAACTACAGCTGTGTCGTGGTGCTGGGCTGTTTCACGTACCCCGAGCTACACAGAGGTGACACCAGGCTCCGAGACATCTCTGAAAGCCAGCTGCTAGTTGAGACGGGTAAAGAGGGAAGAGGATGGATCAGTGGATGGATGGATAGTCTGACAGAGGTCTGGAAGAAGTTATATCAGATACGGGGATCATCTTACTGTCCCCAAAACACTGACAATCGAGGCTGCTTTGCAGCACCCAGCAGCAGAGGCTGCTGTCTCAGAGCTTCAGCAACCCAGGGCTTCCTGCTGCCGGCACTACCAGCCCTTCCTGGGAGGGCTCACAAGCCACGCACATGCGTGCCTCGACATGGCCAAGAATGAAGAGGTTTGGCTGGTTGCTTCCTCCTCCCCCCCTGCTTTTAATGTCACCAAACCCAGCTGCTGCTTTCAACACATGTCCCTTGGCAGGAGGCAAAGGGAAGGAGGCCACCGGGTAGAGCTGCCAAAGTCAAGGGCAGAGGCATGGTGAGGCAGCAGGGAGGGAGACAGACCTGACCCCCCTTCAGCACAGCCCATAGCTCTGGGGGGGCCTTCCTGAGCACCCCAGGGCCCCCACACCCAGCTCAGCCCTGCACGGCGATGGACGTGTCTCTCCTTCCCTCTCTTCCCTCCTCCACTCACCTTCTCCCCGCACGCGTGGGAGATGTTCTCCTCCGGCTCCGCTCCTTTCCCAGTCAGAAGCTAGTCATCGAAAGCGAGGTCACATGTTGTTTCCAAGGGAAGCAATAAATTAAGGAAAATAAAAGATAAAAAAAAAACACAGCCAGGTTACTATAAGACATCAGAAAACTAAGGCCAAAGGTAACATTCTGGGCTTTACGACTTTTCGTGGACCCAGCCACAGAAATCTTGCCACCAGCAACGCTGTGAGGCCCCTCCTGCTCACCGGGCTTTGCCGTTAGTGCTCTTTTTACCTTTTGGAGGTAGTTTTTCAAGGCAGGTTTTTGAGGCCCCTGGGATGCCCCACGCACCCTCAACAGGGCAGGGAATCCAGTGCTGGGTGCTCAGTCCTGCTGCTGTCTCTGGACCCCACTCAGCGAGACTACCTGCAGCTGACACTTGCAACACCTCTAAATAATTCAGCCAGTAGTTTAAATATGCAAAACATGCAGCACAATCCAGTAAGCTGGGTATTTAAAAATAAATAAATAAATAAAAATTTGGAACTGCTTCGTTCTGGCTTCTGGAGCTTGGGAGGGCAAGGAGGGGGTTGCTTTTGCCTCTGCCCCAAAACAGCCGCCTTTCAGGGGCGATGACGCGATGGCGGTGGTGTCCCGCAGGGCGCTGGGGCCGATGGGCCCTCTTCCATCAGGCAGTTTGTTATGGTGATGTTCATGCACAGGCTGTCGTCATCTGGCAGCAGAACCGCTTGCCTTGTGAAATAACCCAGCGTGACAGCTCTGCTCGCTCCCAGGCAGGCAGGCAGGCCCATGTCTGGCTTCTAATCTGGCATCAGAAATCACTCCCCTTCCTTGAGCTACAGACTAATATTAAACGTTGCATTTGCATTACTCCAGATAATCTGCTGGAGAGGGTGGGGAGAAGGGAATTACAGCCCAGCTCCTTTAGGAGCCCCCACGAGAAGCCACCACACCACCGCCATCCCAGCCACGCCGTGTCTCCTCACGCCGGTTGCCAGCAGCGCCCGTGGCTGTGCTGGAATTCACATTTCAGTTCCCCACCATCAGCCGGCGTCGGGGAGCGGAGCAGAGCGGATCAGCTCGCACGATGCCCCAGTGACAGATCACCGGTGACTTTCTCCCCCTGTCAACAAAAGCCAGAGTCACGAGGATAAGGCAGAATGGCTCGGGGCCAAGCGTATGTTCAAGCTGAAAAGGTCTCGGTGACTTCCCAGGCATATGCTGGCTGGCAGGGCGCTGGAGCAAGGCTCTCTGAACAGCCTGCACGACGCGGGCCGGAGGGATTAGTCTAATGCTGCGTCGAGATGCTAATACAATAAGGGTTCTTTGTGGCATTAGCAGCAATCATGAGACCGGCGCTGAGATGTCATTGCCTGGCAGCTGTAGGGAGCGCTTGCCCTGAGCCCTCCGGCGGAGAGAAGGAGTTTTTTCTCCTGTTTCGACCATTAAAGTTCCTGAGGGACCATGAAAATGTGGTGAGACCCCACCCTGTGTTTTGGTGACACCTCATTTGGGAACAGCTGCCACCTCTGTCTATGGAGAGCCAAGGGAACAAGGGTTATTTGGCAAGGGATCATCGCTTTTCCTTGTGTTTTTCCAGAGCTGCAAAGCTGTGGATACCAAAAGGATGCTTGGGACCTCAGCACCAAGGTCACATCTTACCCCAGTAAAGTCACCACCACCCACGGGACTGGGGTTTTGCTATTAAAAGTGTTGCAAAAACCTGCTGAGGCCAGCGGAAGGGTTCGTGTGGGTTCCAGCAGACACGCTTTCATCTCCCCTGCCAGCTTCATGCCCACAAAGCCATGGGGCCTGATCCTGACCTAACCCCAGCGCCAGCGGGCAACGCTCCATCCCGCTCAGCTCGTTTGTGCCGGTGGAAAACCAGCATCGAGCACCAGCGGAGAATGTGGAGGGGCAGGGAGACCTGGGAGACCTGGGGAGGGGGCATCTGTCACAGGAACTGGAAACTGACCGATGCTCACCTTGGTCAGTTGCAAATTTTCCTGACAGACCCAAAGACCCCCATGAGGGATGCCACGGTCCTTCCCCCACACCATGAGAGGACCCCAAAGACCTGACATGGCACCATGAAGGGAGTGAAACCCCCCACATGGCACCATGAGGGACCCCCAAAGACCCCAAATGGCAACATGAGGGACCCCCAAAGACCCCACATGGCACCATGAGGGAACCAAACGCCCTCCTCACTACACCATGAAGGGAGACCCAGATCCACACAGCACCCTGAGGGGACCCCAATCCCTCAGGGTCCCCATAAGGGACCATACAGTCCTCCTCACCACACCATGAGGGGACCCCAATCCCTCCGGGTTCCCATAAAGGACCTCACGGTCCTCCTCACCATGCCATGAGGTGACTCAGACCCAGGCAACACCATGAGGGGACCCAGACCCACACAGCACCCTGAGGAGACCCCAATCCTTCAAGGTCCCCACCAGGGACACCACGGTCCTCCTCACCACGCCATGAGGTGACCCAGACCCAGGCAACACCATGAGGGGACCCAGACCCACACAGCACCCTGAGGGGACCCCAATCCCTCAGGGTCCCTATAAGGGACCATACAGTCCTCCTCACCACGCCATGAGGGGACCCAGACCCACACAGCACCCTGAGGGGACACCACAGTCCTCCTCCACACGCCATGAGGTGACCCAGACCCAGGCACCACCATGAGGGATCCCCAAGCCCTCGGCGTCCCCCCGCGGGACCTCGCGGCTCTCCTCCCCACGCCATGAGGGGACCCAGACTCACGCAGCGCCATGAGGGGTACCCGAGCCCCTCAGCGTCCCCCCGCGGGCCTCCAGGCCGTCCCGCCGCGCCCCGGGGGGCCGGTCCCGCCCCGGGCTGAGGGGAGCGGCAGGCGGGGCGGGCCGGGCCGGGCCGGGCCATCCGCGCCGCCCACATAAGGCGGGGGCAGCCCACGCCGCTCGGCGCGGCGGCGGGTGTCGGCGGGCGGCTCTGTCGTTTTCCTCCCGGGCTCGGTGGTGGTGGGTGAAGGGCGGCAGGCATGGAGCTGGGGTGGCTGCTCTGGGGGGCGGCGGTGCTGCTGCTGCTCCACGTCCTGATGGGGCTCAGCCCCACCGTCAACTTCGCCCTGCGCATCGGCTTCTACTCCTTCCTCTGCCTCCTCGCCTCGGCGCTGACGGCGCCCGTCTGCCTCCTCGTCAACGGCGGCACACAGCACCCTGAGGGGACCCCAATCCCTCAGGGTCCCTATAAGGGACCATACAGTCCTCCTCACCACGCCATGAGGGGACCCAGACCCACACAGCACCCTGAGGGGACCCCAATCCCTCAGGGTCCCTATAAGGGACCATACAGTCCTCCTCACCACGCCATGAGGGGACCCAGACCCACACAGCACCCTGAGGGGACACCACAGTCCTCCTCCACACGCCATGAGGTGACCCAGACCCAGGCACCACCATGAGGGATCCCCAAGCCCTCGGCGTCCCCCCGCGGGACCTCGCGGCTCTCCTCCCCACGCCATGAGGGGACCCAGACTCACGCAGCGCCATGAGGGGTACCCGAGCCCCTCAGCGTCCCCCCGCGGGCCTCCAGGCCGTCCCGCCGCGCCCCGGGGGGCCGGTCCCGCCCCGGGCTGAGGGGAGCGGCAGGCGGGGCGGGCCGGGCCGGGCCGGGCCATCCGCGCCGCCCACATAAGGCGGGGGCAGCCCACGCCGCTCGGCGCGGCGGCGGGTGTCGGCGGGCGGCTCTGTCGTTTTCCTCCCGGGCTCGGTGGTGGTGGGTGAAGGGCGGCAGGCATGGAGCTGGGGTGGCTGCTCTGGGGGGCGGCGGTGCTGCTGCTGCTCCACGTCCTGATGGGGCTCAGCCCCACCGTCAACTTCGCCCTGCGCATCGGCTTCTACTCCTTCCTCTGCCTCCTCGCCTCGGCGCTGACGGCGCCCGTCTGCCTCCTCGTCAACGGCGGCCGCACCGTCAAGAACATGAGGTGAGGTGAGGGGGCTGGGGTCAGCCCCCGGCGACACCCGGGGACGTGGCGGGGCCGAGGTGGCAGCGGGTGAAACACAAACTGGGGAGATCGGTTTCAAGCCCGGCCTCGGGGGGATGATGATGATGGTGGTGGTGGCCTCCTTCACCTCGGGTGTGTGACAGCAGGCCCTGGGGTGGCTGCCCCGGTGGTGGTGGGGTGGCCTCTTGGCTCATGGAGGGTGCTGGGGGTGTGGTGAGGGGCTGCTCTGTCCCTTCTCTTTGGAGAGCCCTGTTTGGGGATGGGCACCCTTGGATGGGGTCTGGAAGGTGTGAGGAGGGTGGCTGGTGGCCATGCTCTGGGGGCCACACAGGTTTTGGGGAAAGCTGTGTGACAGCAGTGTTTGTTGGGGGGTTTCTCCTCCCCTCCAGAAGCACAGGCTGTGCCAGGCGGTGGTTAACGTGGTGGTGCAAGGAGGATGGTGGCCATGCCTTGCCCAGGACACACTTGTTGCTCTCAGGCCTTGCTGCCTCTGGCATGTCCCCTGGGGTGGTGACCGAGGAGCTGATGGAGGAGAGCACCCCCTCTACATGCAAAGACACATTTTAAGGGCAGAGCTGGCACTTCTCCTGGCAGCACAGGAGAACCTGGGCTCCTTGCTTTGCTCTCCCATAGGCAGCTTTTTACCTGCTCTAACCACCCGTGTCCAGGCCAGGTGATACGTGTTGGGGGGCAAAGGGGAGCCCTGTTGCCTTAATACATCCTTTTGGATCAAAGGTGTGCCTGTCTCAGCTGGTGGAGCTGGACTTTGCTTTGTGGTGTGGCTCTGGTGGGAAGGGCTCGGGGTGGAGCGGGCACAGGGCACCACCATGCTGCCCTCTGGGCTCTGCCATGCCCACCCCAGCCCATGCCCTGCCATCATCGGCTCTGGGTGCTGTGGCCCCAGGCACTGAAAACAGCAATCTGCTCTGGCATCTCCAGCCTAGCTCTGTCTCCAGCTTTGGTTGCCTTGGCTGGCTCAAGGAGCACCTTCTCGCTGCGCAACCTGCTCTGCAGCTCGGAGAATTGACAATGTTGGTTATGGAGATACTCTCTTTTTCTTCCCCATCCCTAAAACTTTGTAAGCCTCCTGTAAACTTAAAGGAACTCCTTGGGAATAAGAACTCCTTGCACTGAGTAACTCCTCATGTTGAAACTCAGAGCTGAATTTTGGCCAGAACCACCCTTTTCCTGTAATTTAAGCCCATCGTTTCCATGTGCTGGCACTGGCTGATGATCCTCGTGGCGTATCCCAGCCCCTGGGAGGTCCGTGGCTGAGGTGATCCAGTGAGCTCCTTATTTCTACATCATCCCAGACTGCTTATTCCAGCTTGGGGAAGGGGGTTGGAGCAGAGCACGTGCTGGTGGACAGACAGCGATAACAGCATCGCTGCCCAGCGCAGAACACCCCGTCCTTGTTGTGCTCCTGGCTCTGGTGCCAAGCTGGTGTGACTTGGAAGAGGTTGCCCTCTGTGTCTGACAGAGATAGAGCTGTTTATCTAGTGGCGAAACCTCTTGCAAGAGCTTCCAATCTGGTAAGCACGCTTCATTAATCCTTGAAAATCAGAGGATCCTAAAAAGGCCTCTGCCACAGGCTGCGGAGCAGAGTGTGTGAAGCCAGGGCTGATGGGTTTCAGACTCAGGCTGTTACGGATGCCCTGAAAAAGCACATTCCCTCTCACTTTTCTGCTTTCTCCTCGAGTCTGGCAATAAGTGCATCAGATTTACAGCTCCCTGCAGCTGCGACTGGCTCATTCATACCAGCTTGCAGGGTTGAAAGGGAGTAGCACCCATCCCCTTAACCCCGTGGGTGATGTGGCCAGCTCAGCAGGGCTGCTTGGTCACCTGGTGGCTCTTCGCTTGCTCTGAGCTCTGCCCCTTTGCCTCTTTTGGTGGCTCAGGCCACATCTTGTGCAAGGAAACACTGGCTTCTTACTGGCAGGAGGAAGTTGGATGGTTGCTCTTGAGTAATGTGTAACCAGCCTCTCCCGGCAGCTACTGAGCCAGTGTGACTTCCAGAGCGGTGACCTCTTTTTTGGTTGGCAGTCAGAAAGGGAGGAGAAGTGGGATTTAGGTCAGTCTGGTGGCATGGCATCCACGGTGACCTCACTGATTGGTGTCACCCTGCCTTTTCTCACCTGCCCCCTTCTCTCTTTGCCTGGACTGCACTCCCATAACCCCAGGAGCTCTGCAACCTCTGCACCTCCCCGTGGCCTTTCCCCAGGTGTGGCTCCAACCTTTGCAGCAGGTTTGAATGACCTGGGACTGATAGCTGCTGTGTCACTCCCATGTGTCACCTGCGGGCATTGGCCTGACCTGAGCTCCAGCATCACAGCCAGGGCCCCGGGGCAGTCTGTGTGGTGGGGCACCCCATGGAGATAGGAACCCCAGAGTGGGGAGGAGCAAGCCAAGGGACAGCTGACTTGACAGAGGCATGTGGTTGAAGAGTTGATGGCAGGGATGGGGAGACTTTCAGAGAACAGATGCTGGGGGCTGCTGCCAAGCCAGAATAAGATTCTGGCAGGATGCTCACCTTCCACCCTGGGTGACAGAGATGCTTCCCAGGCTGATGGCCCTGCACAGCCTTCCAGCTGGACCCCGTTGTGGGGGAAGAAGGTGACACTGTCCTTCCATCTCCTCCTGCAGGGAGGAAAGATCCATCCTTTGCCTGCCAGGGAAGTGGTGGGCCTTGAGGTAGGGCATCCAGGTGCTTGTTGGAGGGCAGGTCAACTCCTGAATCTGCTCTAGGGGAATCAGCTGGTGGCTACTCCTGGGGCCTTTGCTCATGTGCCAGTTTCTCTGCCTCCTGTCCTGGCGAATGGCTGCTCCCCTACCCAAAATAGCCCCTGTGTGCTGCCAGCTTCTGGCTGCGTCCTTTGGCCCAGTTGGAGGGTCCCCAGCTCCCACCTGTTTGGGGGTGGCAGAGTGGGCCCTGCTCTTATGGGCTGGCAGGGTCTCAGCTGGTGAGCCTGGGCTGGGTGTGCTCAGCAAGGGCATGGCAGCCTGCTCGGTGCTGAGAGGAGCTGCTGGTGTCTCATCCCAGGTGGGACCCTAGCCCTCGGGCAGAGGGGAGGGAAGCTGGGAGCTTTGTGGATGGACCTGTAGATCCAGCGGGGAAGGTGAACTGACAGGCAAAAGCTCTTTGCTTGAAGGTGGGTTTGCCGGGGGCACCTCTCCTCTGCCAAGCTGCGTGGGGAGCATCCCGTTTGCTGCTCGCATCCTTGCATTTTACAGGGAAGTGTTTCTCACCTTCATTCTTCTCCCCCGGGGTAACGACAGCCCATGTTTGTTTGTATCGTTAAACAGCATCTTCCAGCACTGCAAGGAGCAGAATTGGCAGCTTTCCTCGGGTGATGGGTGTGCAGGCAAATACCCGTGTGCTGGGGAGTGGCAGCTCCTAGGAGAACTGTTTGAACAACTTGTGGGGCTCTTGCTGGTTGCAGGAGGAAAACACTGGCAGCATCGGAGCAGACTGCAGCCACGGCACAGGGGGAAACGACAGCACTAAGTGGATAGGACTGGCAGCAGGAGGAGTGGTCCTTGGTTCAGCATTAAAACCAGTGTCTGCCCATCCTGGACTTTAGAGGGCTTCCAGTTTGCCCTCTATTTGCACTGCAGCAGCACTAGGCTGGACTCTCCCCTTCCAGAGAGCTTGTAGTGAGCCTGGTTGTCAGCTTGAAGGAAGCATGAACCATTGAGTGTAGCTGTACCGGCCTCAAAGTTACAATCACCTTCCCCCAGGCGTCCAGTAAAATCCCCACTCTGGGAGCAGACAGGGCTTAGCGTGCAACTGAAGCACCTTGAGCACATGGGACCATGCAGGACAGACACAGGGCGAGTGAGACTGGAGGCTCTCTGTCACAGAGCTCTTCTTCTCTCCTTCCACCCGTGCTGGGTATAGCAGCCCCTGAAACCTCCCTGCCCTGCTGCTGACTGCTCTTCTCTCCTTGCAGAATCATCAGAGCTGTGGTCAGGACCTTCAAGTATTTCCTCGGCCTGAGGTTTGAGGTGAAAGGACTGGAGAACTTCAAGGTGGAGGGCCCTGCTATCATCGTGTCCAACCACCAGAGCATCCTCGACATGATGGGTGAGAAGCTGGTGGGAGGGGGGAAGGGAGGGAGCAGTTTTCTTGCTCACCACTAGAGAAAGGCTACCAACATCTCCTGGCCAAGCAGCCCCCTGGTCTGTGCTACCAAGCCAACTGGTCCAGCTTTCTCTAGCAGTGCTGGCTGCAGGAAGGGTCTCCCCTCACACCCTGGGCAGCACCACAGGTACTGCTCAGCTTCAGGTGTCTCTCAGCTCTTTTACATCCCTGCCTCGCTGGTAGCCCAGCTGGCCTAGCACTCGTGTCAGTGTTGCAGGCAGCCAGGCATGAGGGGTGGCCCCACTGGGAGTGAGCTGTCTCCTTGAATGGTCTCCTATGACCTGCAGCCACCCTGACCCTGTAATTCTGCTCTGTGCTTCATCTCCCGCTCTGTTGATGGCAGCAGAAACCAGCAGAGAAATGAGACACCGGCCTGTCCCCTGTACTCCCCGCCTCAGATTGTGTCTCTTGTCCCATCTGAGTGCAGGATGGGCGGTGGTGGCTGCTAGATCTCACCCTCTACCATCACGTTAGGGCTGATGGAGGTCCTGCCTGACAACTGTGTCCAGGTGGGCAAGAAGGAGCTGATGTACGCTGGCACTGTGGGGCTCATCATCTACCTCGGCGGTGTCATCTTCATCAACAGGAAGAGCACCACCAGTGCCAAGATGGTGATGGCAGAGGTGGCCAAGAGTATGACAGCTGAAAACGTGAGTGTGGCCGTGGCATGTGTCTGTCTGGGTATCCTGGGGTGGCACGGAGGGATGTGGCACTCCTGGTGCTGGCTCACCTGAAGCTACAGCCACCTTGCAGCTCTTGGCGAGGCTGGCTGGTGGCTCGGCCAGCAGGAAGGGAGTGCTGTGAGTGGGTTGCTGGAGCACAGCCTTATCTCCCCACGTACAGGTGAAGGTGTGGGTGTACCCAGAGGGCACAAGGAACTGCACGGGGGATTTGCTGCCGTTCAAGAAAGGAGCGTTTCACATTGCTGTCCAGGCACAGGTAACGGCGCGTTGCCCCCGCACGGGAGCCCTGCTTTCGTGGTGACATTGCAGACTGGTCACACAGACTTATTTGCTCTCAAGTGAGCTGTGTTCCCAGGTCACAGCTGAGCTCCTCAGCTAAACCACCTCATCCTCTCTCCTGACTGCCCCTTCACTGCATTCCTGGTGTCCCATCTGGAGGGCAGAGCGTGGGGGACTGGCACCCTTGTCCCTTAGCTCCAGGCTCTGCAGGCAGCTGCCTGGCAGCGTGGCAGGGCAGTGTCTGTGCCCCGCTCCTGGCAGCACGGAGCCTGCTTTGGGCAGGGAGCCCAGCAAGTGCTGAGCTTCTTGTGAGCTTGCCTGGGGAATCCCAAAGCTGTTGGTGCATTTCTCAATCCCCCAGGTTGCAACCGTGTAGTGTGGATTCGGGATTGTTAATGCAAGTGCTTTAGAGCAACATCTGGGCTTGCTCTGTGTGGAAATACTGCTCCCTTCCAGGCCACCATATGGCACTTCTGGGTGTCTCTTAAAAGTCTTCTCTTGCCAAAATGACAAGATCCATGAGCAGACAAACACCTCCTTGGCTTTGGACAGCCAGAGCTGTCAGCGCTCCTGAAGGAGCCGTGGTGCTTGCCTGGGCAGAGCACTGGGACAGTGTGCTGGGGACACTGGAGATCTGGCTGTGCTGCCTGGAAGCTGGGCCACCTTGCTCAGCTCCCAAGGCCTGGGACTAGGTGCCAGAGAGGTGCCTGGAAGGAGATGGGTGCCTTCCCCTGCACACTCTGCCTTGCTTCTCAGGACTGGGATGACTCGAGACCTGAGGGGAAACTGTTTTCCCTAGAAGAGGTGTTACAGCAGATCCTGGAGAAGGGAGTTAGGTGCCAGAGCTCTTGCTGGGTTTGATTGGCCAAGCCCGGGGTGTAGCCTGCCTTGTACCATCCCCACTCCTGCCAGGGTGATGCAACCCAGGCAGGGGCTGGTGGCTGCTGGAAGGAAAAAAGGACAACAGTGGAAATGGTACCCACCTCTGCTAACCCTCCCCCTGAGTCACCAACTGTAGATTGTGTCTGTGGTGTCAGCACTGAAATAACGACTGTTCCTGCCCTCCTGGCTGTGTCTCTGCCTGTCTGGAGCCTCCCCGAGAGCACCTGATTACAATTGGTGACTCCTTCTCTTAGAAGCTGAAGGCACAGCAGCTGGCCTGTCCCAAATGTGTGTTTCTACAGCCTGTTGAAATGGGCATCCTCCCATGTTTCCAGGTCAGAAGATATACCTGGATTCTGAAGCCTGGCTTGGGATGAGGAGCCCTGAGAGCCAGTGCTGACCTGAGGCTGAAGTGTAGCTTGATCCTAGTGCCCTGAATGTCTGTCAAGTGTCTGGAGAGTGGTTTTGATCCCGTTTGACTTCCAGCCTCTGGAAGTGGGTCTTGCTTGTGGGACTGTGTGTGCCCTGGGTGTGTGAGCACCAGGCCAGCTCTGCTGTGTGGGATTTGCTGCTTATCTCTGCTCTGAGTAGCTGCAGCCCAAATAACTCCTCTTATTTTCTTTTTCTTTTTTTCCCCCAAGGTCCCAGTGATCCCTGTTGTATATTCCTCCTTCACCAGCTTCTATAACCCAAAGACAAAGCTATTTACATCAGGTACCAAAGAGTCCAAAGGTCTTTACAGTCACTTGGATACAGGGTTGATGCTGATTCGTGGAGATCTGATTCACAAGGGTGTGGGAGGGAGGTGGAGCTGGGGTGAATGGGAAGAGTCCCTCTGGGAGATGTGTGCACTAAGTTCAAAGCACTTGGCACCGGAGCCTGGGCTGGGCTAATTTAGGAAAGAATCTAATTAAATACAGTGAGGGATGTTTTCATTAAAAATTGGACACCACCTCTCCCTCTCATAACTGGCACAGCCCGTCGTTTGGTGAGGCTTTGGGGAGAGAAGGAAGTGTGCTCTGCCTCCTGACCCTTCAAAGCAGGGACCCCTCTGCAAGCCAACCAAGGCAGCTGGTCCCATCAGAGCTCGGGACTCTGCCAGTACAAGTGCTGGGCAGAAAGTTGGCTTTCGGTCAACTTGGAGCAGTAACTCTCCTTTTTTTTGGGAGGAAGCCATGCTTGCTGTGCTCCTGCCTGGGTGGCTGGAGCCAGCCAAGGGTGGGAGGGTTGGGGAGAAGTGGATGGAGGGACCACCTGGTGCAGGTCCTGGCGTGGGCCTGGAGCTGAGTGGGTCCGTGGCCATGGACTCCCCTTACTCTCTTGGCTGGCAGGTGAGGGCAGAGCAGCCACACCAGCCTTGGGAAGGGGCAAGCTCTGTCTGGGGTGTCACTTTGGGGCACAAAGGAGATACTCTGCTGCTCGGTGGAGCTGTTTGAGAGCAGGGTCTAATCCCCAGAGCAATCTCTGACCCCTGAGACCAGCAAGGCCCTGACCTGTGCTCCAGGGATGGGCTCCTGAAGCCCTGTGAGAGGTGGGGGGCTGTGCTGGGGCTGGAGCAGGGGTCCTGGGAGAGCAGAGAATGGTTGCTCCTGTGCTGTGTGGGGGTTTCTCACAGGTTCTTCTCTTGTTCCCAGGCAAAATTAAGGTTGAGGTTCTGCCTCCCATCGAGACCAAAGGCCTGACATCAGACGATGTCTCTGACCTCACTGACAGATGCTTCCACACCATGAGGGAGACCCTCTTCAGGCTGTCGGGCAGACCAAGCGAGTCAAAGAAGTCATCCTAGATGCTTCTCCAGTGGCGTCACCGTGTGGCGGTGACTGAAGGGACCTGTCTGTTGCCAAATACTGAAGGAACTTCTCTTCCTCTGCAGTGACTTCTAACTCTGGGAACACCACAGACTGGCGCAGCACACGCAGGGTGTCAAGCCAATGCTGAGGTTCCCCGTTGAGTGGATTTCTTTTCTGGGTTCATTATCTCACAATGAAACGTCTCCTTTTTCTGAATTTCTCAGGCATCAAACTCGTGCTACCAAAGGGCTCAATGACTGGAGAGGTGAGTTCCCCCCGGCTCAGGCAGCTGGAGAGGGACCACGACAAAAACCTGGCCGGAGGCTGGGCTCTGCCTCACGCGAACATCCCTGCGCCCATGGTCCTGCAGGCCCAGCTCGTGCTGTGCTGTCCCAGATGGAAACCACCAGGCAGCAGTTCGTACCCGTACAACCTCGATTTTGCTCAATCAGGGCTGAGAATGGGGTGAAAAATCCACAAATCTAGCTCTTCAGCGGCGCTGGGAGTGCGGCCTCCTCCCTGGGCAGCCGGGAGCGCTGCCATCCTGCACGGTGGAGATCCTGGGGCAGGGCCTGTCCCCTTGAGAGGCACCTTTGGGTCACAGCAGCATCTTGTGCTGGGGCTTTTGTGCTGCCCAGGCACTCCTGAGCCACTTCTGAAGAAAGCATCCAGGGCCAATAACCTCAGGGGGGGCTGTAGAGGGGAATGTGTGGGGCCAGTCAGCCTTAGAGTGTCCCTTTGGGCTTGGTGGCCTCGTCTGAACAAGTGCCCTTGGTCACAGAGGGGTGCAGCGGTGGGAGGGAAGCTGAGTTCTGACCAAACTGTGGTCTGGGCAGGGTTTAGCTGAATGCTCTCCAGCCTTTGCTGGTTTAGTCCTTTTCTGAATGAAACCCCACGCTTGTTTCTACCACTCAAGCCACCAGCTTGATATTTTTAGATTTTTTGTTTTTTAAAGCTGCACAGATCTTTGAGTCCTAGGCAAAGCTGTCCTCACATGTGACACGTGTGTGGCACACCGGGATGCTGCCTGGGACGGGCAACCTGGGTTGGCCCAGTGCTGCTTTAGGGTTGGGAGGCTGCTGCCAGCTCCCTGCCGTGGTCCCACCACCTCACAATAGCGCCTGTGGTACGTGGTGCAGGGGCAAAGGGCTCTGTCAAGGCTTGTTTTGTCACTTGTCATGGTCAGCAGCGGCCGAAAGATGGTGCCTGTCCCGTGTGTCTCTGTGCAGATCTCAGCGGAGCCGCTGCAAGGCTTGTCAAGCTCCTGCAGGGCCACAGGGCGGGTGAGCTGGAACGGAGCTGGGAAGGCTTCAGCTCTCCCTTTTTGGGGGGAATGTGCTCTTTCCCCCGTTCGGATAAAGGGATTTCCCCCGTGCTTTGGTGTGAGGGACCAGCAGGGCTCCTGCATCCCTTGATGACCTCTGTGGGGTGCAAGGTTGGGTCAGGTCCGTGCTTCCAGGGGGTGACCTTCACCTCTAACTCGGGCTCAGGGAGGCTGTAGCTCAGCTGTTGGTGGCTCAGGGTGAACGACCATGAGATACTCACCCCAGTAGCCCCCGGGGGGTTTGACACAGCCTGTCTGGGGCTGCCTTGGTGGAACCCCAATCATATCATACCGCCTTTTGGAGGTTGAAGCCTCAACTGGGAAGGGCAGGAGGGTTCTGTAGAGCCCGTGGTCCCCAAGTGAGGGAGCTCCTGGGCTGAGCTGCTGCTGGTGGTGGCCAGTGGGGACTTTATCAGAGGGGCCTTACGGTACAGACTCAGGGGTCAGACCCGCCGTGGGACGGGTCGGGGGGGGAGGATGGGAACTGAACCAGCACTTTGTGAGAGTGGCAGATAAAGGGGCTGGGAACTGAACCAGCACTTTGTGAGAGTGGCAGATAAAGGGGCTGTCACAGAGGTTAAACCAAACCCAGAAGGGTCCTGGGAGGGCTCTTAGGGGGTGGGGAAGGGATAACCACATCCAGGGGGTGATTCCTGCAGCATCCTTCCCTGGGAGGGGGGAGCGGTGCCTCTGTGTGCAGTTCTCTGCTGTTCACTTTTAATTGGGTTGAGAATAATGTTATGTGCTTTAAAAAAGAGAAGGGGGGGGGGAAAAAAAGTACACCTTTGATTATTTAAATAAAGGAGACTCCTGGTCTTGTGTGGGAGCTGGGGGAGGAGGGTGGCTGTGGGAGGAAGGCTGCTGACCCTTCAGCTCTTGCAGGGGGTGGGTTGGGTGGTTGAGAGGGAATGGCAGGTCCTTGTCCCCACCCTGTGTCCCACTGGAGAGGGGCTGTGCCTGGCCTCAAGGAGGACAAATGCCTGCAGGGGAAGAGGAAGGTGGATGGGAGCTGGTGTCAAAGCAGGGCCCTGGAGCAAGCACCAGTAAGGATGCCACAGCCTCGGGGTGCGCAGCAGGAGGCTTTATTTTGGTACAACCCTGTTGCCCATGTGGCAAGTGGCTCCTCTTGCAGCTCTGCCCTAAGGCAAGGAGGAAGGTGTTGTACCAGGTCCATCACCTCTGCTCTGTGGTACCAGTGTCCTTGGGCAAACACTGCTGGGGGTGTGCCAGGGGCTGACAGTGCAGTGGCCACCGGATCTGGGAGGGACTGGCCACCCTGGCAGCTCCGTGCCTGGCAGTGCCAAGGTGTGGGTGTGCCAGGCTGCCATCCCCAATCCGGGCATGCAGAGGGCTGTCCCTCCCTACTTGGCCTCACCCTGTTGGCACTACTGATTGGCACAGGTCTGTCCCTGTCTGCTCATTGATGGGAGTGTCACAGGGAAAGGTTTTCTATTAAAAGCGAGTAAAAATAGATTCTCTGCACCTTCAGGCCCATGGAAAAGCTTTGTCCTTGTTACTGCTCCATAGGGCCTAGGGATGGAGCAGAGGAGCAGGCAGTTTCAGAGCAAGCTGCTGTGGTTGCTGCGTTAAGTGGTGAGGCACCAGCCCACCCCCAGCACTGGTGGAGGAAGGCTGGTCCCTGAGAGCAGACCAGAAGCTGTGGGGATGGGCACCTGCACCCAGCCAGCGTGGTACCTCTGCAGGGAGCAGTTGCACCCACCCCCTGCTGTGATACCTGGCTCGGGGCTGGCCCCTCCTCTGCCACAAGGCCTTTTTGGCCATAGTCCTCCAAAGGCAGGAGACTCGTCCTCACCTTTTTTGGGGGGCAGCAGGTGGGGGGGGGCACCTGTCCTGCCTGGGCCACCTCTGGGCCATGACATCCCAGGGAAACGGCACGTAAAAGCAAAGCAAAGCACCACAGGGTTTCATGGACTCTGGCACAGCCAGACGGGCACTGGCGGCACGAGGTAAGGCATTTATTTTCTGCCACTCTGGCAGGAAGGGGGTGAGATGCTGAGGGCTCGGAGTCCAGTTTGGAAATAACTGTGTGACCTTTGGTAAGGTGAGTTGGAAGAGAAAATAGAGACGCTTCCAGGAAACCAGCCTTCTCCTGCTGCCCTGGGCCTTCCTGGAGATGATGTGGCTTCATCCTCACCCTGGGGCTGGAGAGTGAGATGAGAGCTATGGCTGCCCTCAGCTTGTTCCAACTCCTGGGGCGCTTGGCTAGAGCTCATTCTTGCAGGAACCTGAGAAGATGAAAGAAAAATCAACAAAAAAAATAAAATCCCATCCAGCCATGTTAGCCTGGGTTTGGGTTATCCCTTTCCCCAAGAAGGAGGAGGTTGCCCTCAGCCTCTGTGAATGTTACCCACACTTGCTGCTTCCCCTTTGCTGAACACCCCCAAGCTGGCTCTGTCCCACCATATTTGGGACTGTCACTCTCCCTGTCACACCACAGTCCTCGACAGTCCTGTGCAGTGTCCCAGGGAGGTGGGAAAGGCAGTGACAGTGACACTGGTGGCTCTAGGATGGGAGACTGGGACACACAGGCAGTGGCTCTGTGTGACAGTAGTCAGGAGCAGGTGCTGCTGGTCACTGAAGTCCCCAGGGGCCGGGGAAGGGACCACGCAGGGTGGCTGTGGCACAGCTACGTGCTGTTGTGAGTCTGTCATGTCACTGACTGGGTGTAAGTGTCACAGCTGAGCATCAACAGGTGGTGACCAGCTGAGGGTAATTCACACTTAGAGGGGCTGAAATGGTTACAGCTTAACGAGCTCCAATCTTGTGCCTTCACTGATGGTTTTAGGAAAATAAAATGATTTTTAGTCCTTACACACATCCCCACAGGGCAGGTAATTGGAAGGTGCAGGTGTAGCTTCGTATCCCGTTGTGAAATGCCTTGCAAGGCACAGAAAGTGGGTGGCTACTGAATGCTCTGTGGGTTGCCCTGCAAGCCCTGGTGCTGCCGGGGTAGGAAAGGCCAACCTTGTGTCCTTTCGAAACTGGGAGAGGGACAAAAACAAGTTTTGCTTGCCCAAACGGGCTTGGCAGAAGTGAAGTTCAGGACTTTGGAGTCATCCCTTGGAGTAAATCCACGTTACCTTGTGATACCACTCACATTCCTGTCACTAATAATATGTGCAGGGCAATACTAGGAAACTGTCTGCTGGAATGCTCAGCCCTTCTGATGATTACCCCTTTCTGAGATGTTTTCTAAGTGTCTATTTGCAGCTACTTAGTCTTCAAACAAGTTCTTTGAAGTCTTTTATATCTAAGCCATTACTGCGAGCAGTGAACTGGGACTGGATCTGCCCTGAAAGGCAGTTTCCCCTGAAGTCTTTCCAAACACCCTCGGCCCTGCCGTTAGCACGGGGCTGCTGCTGCACACCAGAGCCAGCCCCACCGAGCCCAGTTTCTGGGTGTGTTTGACTGGAATTATTTAATGGGAAAACGAACGGCTATTACAGTAGAGTTACTTGGTTTGTGCTCTGCTCTGAGTTAAGGGAGAGCCTTGCACCCACCTGAGGGAGCTGAGGGGATGCTGCCCTGTGGGAGGTCACCAGGCAGGACCCCCTGCCCATGGCCATTTCACACATGGCAGCTCCCACCAGTGTCTCCAGAGGTTGGTACTTAGGAACCCGCTCTGGTCCACTGCCTGGCAAAGGGCTGCTCTGCAGACTTCAAAAAGAAATCCCTAAAACTTCCCAGGCTCGTAAATCTGCCAACTTCTGCACGCTCCCTAAACTTTCCTGATTGACTCTTTGGACTGTTAATTTCCTAAGAGTGGAGGTTTCTTTTCTAAGGATGAAGTTGTAACACCACAGGAAGGGAAGGCAGGTGGTGAGGGTGCTGATGGCGAGACATGACCCACTGCTCAGGGGGTTCCCTCTGCTTCTGCCCCGGAGCCACGTTTCCCTGTGCCCATCTTAGGATTTCTGGCTGCTACAAGGGCAGTCAGATGGTGCAGCCATAGAAACAGCTTTGAAATGAAGCTAATGGGCTGTTTGTGTTCATCTTTTATTAATTACAGGCTGATGAGCTTGAGGGAGATATAGATTAATAGTGGCATATGTGTTACTGATCTCGCTGGCCGGCATCTGCTCGCTGTGGCCAAGGGGAATGGAGGGAAAAGCTTCACCCCTGCTTTTTCCAGGCACTTACACGTCTCCAGCCGCTCCTCGAGGAAGGAGATCTGCTCGCTCAGGGAGTCGATCCTGTCCAGTTGCTGGAGGGAGTGGGACAACCGGCTGATGGGGTCCGCACCGACGTCCTCCGGCTCAGATGGCATGAAGTTGTGGAAGGGGGCCAGCACCAACTGGAGCTTCTAGAGGGAGAAGGGGAGCTGTGAAGTGCCACAAGGACCACCCAGTGGGATGTAGCACACTGCCTGCCGGGGGGCATCCCACCGGGGCGACACGCTGGAGGGGGCTTTGGTGGTGTTCAAAGGGCCGCGGGGCTGGAAGAGCTGCTGTGTGGGCGCTGCCGGCAGCGTGGAGCGCAGCTGGGAATGCTGCGGCGTGAGGCCAGCACCATGTTAAAAATAGAGCTGGGGATAGGGAAACCCTGGCTGCGAACAGCCCGGGGTGGGAACTGGGCTGAGCAGGACCTGGAGTGGTGACAGGGCAGGGCAGAGGTGTGTGCTGACAGCTCACCTGCTCCAGCGCTTCCACTCTGCTCTTCAGGGCTTTCATTTCTTCTGTCATTTCACTGGGGGGACCTGAAAAAGTGACCAAGAAAAGGTCAGTTAGTAAAAAAAACCCATTGCCTGAGGTGGGGAGAGACATCGGTGCAGGGCTCAGGCCAAGCTCTGCTGCTTTCTGCTCCCCCTCCCAGTGAGCCCCCCAGGGTCTGCCCAGCTGGGACCAGCTCCTGGAGCATTGATGGGGTCCAACACGCACGAATCTCTCCTTGCTGCTGGAACACCTGCAACAAAGCGGGGAATTTTTCAGGCAGTGGGGTGGTGCTTCAAGGATAAGATGTCTGGTGCAGCCTGGCCTTTCGTGCCTGTGTTGTCAGATTAGGTAGCACCTGGGTCTGCCCCGTCCCGTGATGGGCACAAAGGCTCGTCCCTGCTGAGGGCCCTGGGAGGGGATAAAAGCTCTTCCAGGCGTTTCCTGCGCGATGCTGGTGCTGGCCACAGCGCATTATTACTCACGGTACGAGTTTGAAGTGTCACAGCGCGTACCAAAAGTAATAATGGGCCGTCACCAGCGCTGCCCACCGCTCCTCCTGGCGCTGCGCCTGCCCTGCAGGAAGGATGATGACAGAGAGCACAGCTGTATCCCGGCCACCACACACCATGGATGGGCTCTGTCACCCTCACAGATGGAGCAATGGCTGGATTTGCACATGGGGAGGCTGTTTGGATGGTAAAGTGAATCCTGGATCACTGGGAATAAAGGTGAGGGCTTCTGGCTGTTGTCCCCTCTCCTGTCTCTTCCCAGTCCTGCTCCAGCCACCCTGTGATGCTGAGAGTTAATCCCAGCTCTCATTGAAGGTCCCGAGCAGCCGGGGCTGTCCTGTAACAGGGGACAGGTTACCTGCTTGGCGGAAGGTTTCTGGCTCAGGGGGTGGCACCAGGGGCTGGCACGCCTTGTCATCGGCAGCGAGGGTGAAGCCATCCCGGCAGGCACAGCGGTAGCTCCCGGCCGTGTTGATGCAGAGCTGGTGGCACCCGTGGCTCTGCCCGGCACATTCATCCACGTCTGAAACCACAGGGACGGTCAGTGAGGACAGGGGAGGTGAGGAAGGGCTCACCAGAACACTCAGCCCGACAACCTGGGGTCCTGCTCCCCACCTAGAGCCACCGGGGCTCACACAGGGTGATGCCATGGGCCCCCAGATGGAGCTGGTGTTTGGGCACAGCTCTGGGTGCTCTCAGCACTGCAGCGTGCGAGGACGAGACACCCCAGCTCCTGGGACAGCCTTTCCTCTTGCACCTGGCTGGAGTAAACCTGGGCTAACCCCCAGGGGGATCTGGTCTCCTCCCTTCCACCAGCTCCCCCCAACAAAAGAGCCAGAAACAAAAAAGCTGTGGTCAGAAATATCCCAGCTCTGGCCAGGCGGGTGCAGGCAGCGCTCGGCTCTCATCCTGGATTTACGGCCGGGGTTTTGGTTCCAGCCAGCCGTGGCGAGGAGCTATCAGCCTTTCAAGTGTGTACAAAACCCAGTAACCTCTCCTCACACGGGGGAGTTATTAAAGCTGTTCCCACAAAGCAAAATGAGCTGAACCGCTTCCCACGCCCGGGCGAATCTGTTTTAGGCAGTGGGAAAATCCTTCCCCCCCCCCAGCCCCCCCCCAAC